AATGACAATTCCATAAAAGAATCTTAGGCCTGCTAATTAATATGATTTTCGATTTTTCCCTTAATAATTATCCTGCACTCCTTTAATCCTGCTTTTTTATTCATGTGCTAGTCGGATTTTTAAATTATTTTTAATTTACATTTAAATATTAAAAAAAGTATTAAAATTTTTTATCCTGCGTATATCTCAGGGGAATGAGGTTTACAAAGTTATATAACCAAATTTTATCATATATTATATTATACTTGAGAATATTTAAAGAAAAAAATGAATTTTATCATATTGAAGATATTATATATAGCGCCATCTATTTTTTAAAGTATAAAATCGCAACAATCTAGCCATGCTAATTGTTTAGATATTATTTAAAAAATAGTAAATGAATAATATTTCTTAAAAAAATTTTAAATTGGAGATCATATTAATTTCTAAATATTAATTTCAAATTTTCACCTGACCCATATTTTAAAAAAAAATTAATTTGATGTTTTCGCCATAATTATTAATTATTAACTTCGCCATTAATATTAGATTCAATATTAGATCTTAGTTTTAAATTTAAAACTAGTTATTTAACATCAGTAAAAAGCAAAAAAAAACGTTTTTTGGACCTTTAACCCCAATTATCTCCATTAATATACTTGCTAATGGGCTAAAATTTTGTTTATGATCTAATGTGTACATATATAACCAGTCTACAACTTTTTATCGAAATTGAAACAAGGTTGGCTGAAAATCTTGATTTTCTTGCTCATTTGACATGGAATGACCCTATAATACTGTTTTTGAACAATGATTGGATATGATTTCATGATTCCTTGTTTTTTAAATTGGAAATATTTTTTTACATACTCCTACATGGCTGATATTAAATTATTTATTGCATATTATACAAATTGCATTTAAGCTACATTCTTTATCTACTCTTACCATATGGGTAATTCCATTACAAATCGACCAGCGATTCGGCCGACCATCTCAAAAATGAATGAAACTTATCATGTTAGTTATTTATGTTGTAAATGTTAATAAAATCAAAATTTTAAAGTGCTAGCTCAACCAGATCCAAAGATATACGCCTTCAAAGTAGAAAATCGCGAAGTGCGTGATTTTATTAAATCTTGTTATTTTAAAAAATATTTAAGTTACAAATTATATACCATTTTAAAGCCCTTAAATTTTACGTTGGAAAATTTTAAAAAAAAATTAAAAAATTTCAAGTGTTTTCTTATTTCCGGTAAAAATAAAAAATTAACATTGTTAGGAAGGGATTTTTTTGGGTGTTATTCACTAAAAATGTTTATTACCTTTATATTAGATTTAATAAAAAATCTCGATAACCATTTTTGTTTTTTTAATTTTATTTGAAGTTTTATTAATTTTATAAATAAAATAATGCAATATAGATAGCGTTAATTCAAAATTTTTTATAATATATAATATGAATAGTATTGTGATTAAAATTAAAAAATCAATTGAGTATAACCAAGAATGATGCCCTGGGACGATATGTAAGCAGGCAGCCCATACAGATATGATTTTATTAAGACGCTATATTGTAAAATAAACATTATTTAAAATTTTATACACAAACAATATAAAAATAAATACCTCTTGTTTTAATCTTATCCCATTTTATGCTTATTAATAGAATTTCTTGAGACGATAATTTCTAGGTACGACCTGTCACTGTAATAGGATCTACTATTGTTATTATTTGATTAATGGGTAACCATATTTTTTCCACAATTGTGGGGTAAAAGAAGGATGGTTATGGTCCATGGGGATGTAAAAAGGAAATATATATCTCCTCAGTAATTTCATTCTTTTTTAGTAGTGTGGCTAACCACCAAAAATCAGCATAAACACATGTTACGACGAATCCTTTAATATCGGCAAAAATAAATTGCAAAAGACAATCATCGGCATTTGAGATATTGTTAATTTGAAAGTCCACTGCATATGAATATATTTTTGATTTAAGTTTACTTAAACTCAAAAAAAATACAGCATGTATTTCCCAAGTTCCTGGAATGAGACGAGCTAAATTGAATCTTTCTCGGTTTAATCTCTTGTAAATTGTATTGTTCGTTGGTTATATATGTAAAATTTACTGATAGCATGTGTTGTTTTGCAAACTGATATAAATCAACTGGCGTTAAAATATGTCCAGAACTGATGCGCTGAAGGCTTGAACGTGCTGCTAATCTTTTTAATGTTCCGCCAAGGCCGTCACATGGACCTTTTCCATGGGATGTAGCAGAAGAATGCCATTCAGCAGCTACACCAAAATATGATTTATGATAACAGATTTATAAAAAAATTTCTGTTTTTATATTGCGCAGTTGATCAATCAAAGCAGTAATATATTTTGTTTGGCTTTTTGCTGAATTGATTGGTCAAAAATTTTATCATTTTAGTCTGGTATAAATGTACTGCAACAACATCATGTTGAAGTGACTCTGATATTAAGGTTTTCTATATTGCCATATTATTATAATATGCTATCATAGGATGGATAGTGGCTTGATTAAGTGAAATCCTTGAACAGCGTCTTGGATTACAATGCATAATTTTCAGAGAAATCACAAATTATCATAAATTCATTTGGTTGTAAAAAATGTTTAATTTTGAAATATATAATGATTGATTGGTAGTGATGATAGGAATAAAAAAATAAAATTTGCTGATAAAATCGTTATTTTCAAATAATAAAGATAGTAGATCCACAACAATGAAAGGATATATCTATAAATTATGACCTTAGGAATTTCTATTAATAAGCGCAAAATTATAATAGTTTGAATATAAAATTTTAAAATATGTTTATTTTACAATATAAAAATCCAATTACCTCAGCTTCATATTCTCTATGACTGATACCCCCTAATCACAGAATCGGCGATGAGAAGAGCAATTAAGAACAAGAGAGGGATATTCAGATGTAAGTCAACAAAAGAACCAAACCCTAATCACAGAATCGACAATGAGAAAAGCAATTAAGAACAAGAGAGGAATATTCAGATGGAAGAAGAAAAACTTAAGGGCAAACTATGAAAACTCATAATTCTTTTAAATCATATGCTCAATTTATTATATTAATTTACTATATATTTATTTATATTATTTAAATATATTATTATTTATCCTTAAAAGATATACTAACAAATGTGATTATTTTTTAAATTGACATATTAATGAAATTTACTATTATATTGATCGTTATTATATCATACATTTTATATTACGCTTTATATAAATTTTATAATATCAATATAAAATAATATCTGTATGGGTTGCCTGCTTACATATCGCCCCAGGACATCATTCTTGGTTATACTCAATTGATTTTTTAATTTTAATCACAATACTATTGATATTTTTATTAAAAATTATATATTATAAAAAAAATTATATATAACGCCATCTATATTATATTATTTTATTTATAAAAATAATAAAAATTCAAATAAAATTAATAAAACAAAAATGGCTATCGAGATTTTTTATTAAATCGTTTAATATAAAGGTAATAAACATTTTGTGAATATTAACACCCAAAAAAAATCACTTCCTAACAATGTTAATTTTTTATTTTTACCAGAAATAAGAAAACATTTGAAATTTTTTAATTTTTTTTTTATATTTTCCAACGTAAAATTTTAAGGGCATTTGTAACTCTATCTTAAATATTTTTTAAAATAACAAGATTTAATGAAATCACGCATTTCGCGATTTTCGACTTTGAAGGCGTATATCTTTGGATTTGGTTGAGCTAGCACTCTAAAATTTTGATTTTATTAACATTTACAATATAAATAAACAACATGCCAAGTTTCATTCATTTTTGAGATGGTCAGCCGAAAATCTCGTTTATTTGGCCGATTTGACATGGGATCACCCATATAAAATTCCAGTTATTTTGATATTGCGATTTAAATTTTTTTGATGCTATACTTGTCTTTAAATTGTAATCTATATAATTTAAATTAATTGAATAAAATTGGAAAAGAAATGAAATATCATGAGAAAACTTTATTTAATTAAGCAAAAATTATTATTAGGTTATATCAAACTATTAAAATTTTAAATAATAAATTGCTTACTTCACATCTACAGAAGAATTATTTTCATCATCAGAATGAGAGGAAGTAATTATTATATAATTTATCATAATAATTTATTTTAAAATTAAAAAGGTATTAAATATTATTATTACATTATAAATTAGAAAGTTTTGGGGATTGGGAAAAATCTCAAAATATGGATAAAAAAAACATAAACAAGATGCCTTTTTAAATGTATGATGAAATTAAAATAAAAAATAGCATAAGTTTACGTTTAAGTAATTTCTGATTATTTTATATTTTAAAAAATTTTAGGAAAATTGGAAAAGATCATAAAAAATTGTGAGAAAGTATAAATCAATAGATGCATGTTTTGGCATAAATGAAAGTAAAAAATCAGGAAATTACTCCAAAATAGAGAGATCTAGGAACATTGATAATAGTACTTTATTATATATAAATTTAATCAATGAAAAAATATTATGGAAAATTACTGGAAATTAAACACCAAAAATGAATATAAAATCTTTTATATAAATTTTTGTCCAATATTAAAAAATTGGGAAGGAGATACTATATGTTCTTAGGTTATAATCTGGTAAAAATGGTCCAATTTCACTCTTATAGCATCTTCTAAATTACTAAAGTTAAAGCAAATTGTTAAATGATTCATTACCACATGAGTTGCATTGTTTATAAAATTTTTCATGCATGCTTTCAAATTCTATTTAATTTTTTTATAAATATGTAAGTAAAAGTTTAATATAATTTTTTCTTTTTTTCTTTGCTAAAGAACTTGGTTGAGTAACTCATACAAAGTAATTTTAGTGGTTAGGCCAAACATAATAGTTTAGCAGCAAAAGTAAAACCTTCAAAAATCTTAATAGATCATTTTCACCTTACATGCTTACCAATTGTAAAATCAAGCAATACCTGGTTAAAGCGGTATTTAGATATCCTTTGATAAGCTGGTTTAGGAATTTTGGCAGTATCAACTAAGTGAAACCCACTCTCCTCGTCTTCGTGATAATAGGAATATTGTGTGCCAGTTCCATATTGTGAAGCATATTTATCTTATCATCATAAAAATAGAATATATTAATTTTAATAAAAAGGATTAAAAAATAATAACTTTTGTTTCTACAAATGTTTGAAAAAAATTAAATTCAAATATATTAATATTAAAAGTGATATAATAAAAATTTCCTTAAAATTGTATAAAACTTGTATATTTTTTGTCGTGATAAAGCATATTCATCCAATCAGCTATCTAAACATGATTTATAATTTTATTTCAAGAAATAAGTTACCTTCCCAATTCGATCAGCTTTAGAAAATGGTTGATAAGGAATATCTTTAAATTTGTCCGATGTAACCTTAGGACCCCATCCATCTGGATTATGCGAAACATCTGGGAATTCTAATTTATACGCCATATCAAAATTTCAGCAGAATTTTATGTGGAAATGAATAGGCGAACTATAAAAGGTATTATAAGTGACTAGTCAAAGAAAATTCTTCCGGGGGTCTTCGAAAACGTCATCGAGTCAGTTTGTGTTGCTGCCCTTAACCTCACTTCACTTTTGATGCTAACCAAATTAATTTCAGGAATATTGACCCGATTCCTTATCGCCAAGTGAAGGGCGAAAATATGATCGCTTCACAACGAATTTCTCCTTGATAGGGTCAACTGACCATGTGCAACTGTTGTTCATATGGAAACCCCACTAGGCGTTCGCACTCAATCACCTACATCCAGTCGAATAATGCGAGCTTTTTACCCATTTAAAGTTTGAGAATGGGTCGAGATCGTTTCGATCCTTAGACCTCTTATTTATTCGCTATACCGGATAAAACTGCTTTATACTGAATGCCAGCTATTCTGAGCAAATCTTCGAAGAACACCAGCAAATAGAAAGAGTTCAATTAATCTTTCGCCCCTATACCCAGGTTTTACGATCGATTTGCACGTTAGAATTGTTTCGGACCTCCACAAGAATTTCTTATAGCATCCTGCTAAGGTAGTTCACTATCTTCCGGGTCCCTACAAGTGCTTACTTTTTCCACGCATTGCAAATTCTCCGATTACGGCAGAATAGACCTGACACCCCACCCCCCGGCCCGAAATCGGTATCTTTCTTCGGACCACGTAAAAAAAATCCTTTCCTTTTTTGAACCTCATGGTTTCCAAAAAAATTTTACCCCGAGATTCGCACACCTCGTAGACTTCTTGATTCATGTTTTTAAACGAGTCGGAAAAGTGTTGAACTATAAACGTAGCGGACCTAGCCAACGGATGAGAATTCTAGTTAATGACAACAGCTTAGAAAAATGACGTTGGAGAAGCCGAACATACAAGCAAGTATTCCTAATAATTTACAAGAACCCATAATTTTTTCGCTTACCCTTACCGCCTCTCCCACCCAAATTCCTCTTTACATGTATTATTTTTGTGCGGAATGGTTTTGATTTACTTTATGATTTTTAATATATTGTATATTTTACCAGATATTATAATCCTATTGGTTTAATTCACAAATATTTTATTAAAAATGCTAAGAATCTTGTTCATAAAAATTCCAAAATTTATTTTATAATTATGTCTCTTAATATGAATCGACTGACCCTGTTCCATACATTGATTATAAATAGACATGTGCGCCGCCGGTCAAATGCGCCGCAGCCGATGATTTTGACCACGCCGAAGTTGCGCGTCAAAAAATTGACGGCGCTCAACACGCCGCCGCCGATGTAAAAATTCGGCGGCGTGGCGGCGTGATACATATTTTTTATTATTTATTTATTTATATATTATTTATGAATTGTAATTATAAGAAAAATATTAAATATTTTTTGAATTATTAAAAAATGCGAGTTTATTTTTTAAAATTAATAAATATTATTTGCTATAAATTTGATTTGTAACAATCCATATTCGCTCACTTTGGGCAGGTTTGTGACCAAAGTGCTAGATAGGACATTAAATTTGAAAAGGTAATTCTATATTTTATTCTTTTATTTTGATGCTTCAAATAATTTACAACTCGTTATATAAAATTTATTTTTTATCATAATAGGAAATTTTAATTAATGACTTTTATTTTGTTGCCATTATAACATATATAAAAATACCAGGACTAAAACAATTATAATGGATGCAGCATTGCAATACCCTGCAACAAAATATAGTATATCCTTGCAAGTAAAGCCTTCTTTTGCATAGAAACATTTTGGATCCTTAATATTAAAAACTGACACAAATAATAAGAGAACCAGTGTTGCTACAGATAAAGTCTTTTGTAATATATGCTTGCAAATAGCACTTGATAAAGATGGTGAGGATAAAAATAATTCTTCATTTTCAGAGTAAATTTTTTGATTATTTTAAAAATATTTGTAAATTTTTTAATTAGTTATCCAATCAAATCTTTTTCAAAAAATATCAGCACATCAAATATAATAAAACATTTACTTGACAAACATGATTTATCATGTAAAGAAGAAATATCTAAACAAAATTTAAAGTTATTTTTCAAACCCATTGTAAAAGATACAACTGACCCTATAAAAGATAAAAAAATGGATTCTGGTAAGGAATTATGTTCTCATGTGTTTCAAGGATTTAATGCCATTCTCTTCTATAAATAATACTGGAATGCAAGATTTTCTAAAGGTTATATGTAAAATCATTATAATTTTTTATAGAGCAATCTTAATTTTTATTTGTTAAGATATTTAATTATTTTATAACATCCCACATTTAAAATTTTTTATGGCATAATATTTTTATTATTAAATTTTTATTATGTAGAAATATAACATTATTTCAGATGCCAAAGAATTGATAGAACTACACTTAGCCGGAGTGTGTATTTATCAATGAAAGCATACATATGCCAACAAATTAATATAGGTCCTAAATTTTGTGCTATAACTTTTGATATGTGGACCGACAAATATAGACAGCGAAATTATATCACCTTTACATTTCACGAAATAGATAATAATTTTAATATTGTATAATAAACATTGACCACACATCATGTCACTCAAAAACATACCACTGAAACTATTCTTTCCGAAATAGAAAAAGTTGAAAATGAATTTGATTTAGGGTCCAAGAAAATTCAAATGGTTACGGATGCAGAACCCAATGTAAAGAAAAGTGTTCGTCTAGGAAAATATGACCATCATTTATGTTTGGGGCATGGATTACATAATCTAGTGACAGTCGATGGAATAAAAACGTTAATAAATAGAATATATGACCACATTATGTTTGGGGCATGGATTACATAATCTAGTGACAGTCGATGGAATAAAAACGTTAATAAAATAGAAATTTTATTAAAAAAGTGAGAGAAGTTATAGTTGCCTTAAGATTCAAAACAGCGGATTTTGAAAATATAAACAATATTGAAAATAGAAAATGTTTTGAATCGATATCATATACATAGGATATTTTAGATTTGGATGATAATGATCCTTTTTATGAAGATCGTTTGGGGTTTGATAATGATAGTGAAAATCAAAAATCATATGAGAAAAAACATAAAACCTTAAAATTAAATGTGCCTACACGTTGGCATAGTATTTCAATAATGCTGGAAAGTGTGACTGGCAATAACAAAAATCCTATAAATATTCTATTAAATAGAATGGAGAAACCGGATCTCAAATTATTTAACTCAGATTGGGACTTGGTGCATGAACTTTTAAATTTTCTTAAAACCTTCAAAAAAACTGTTGAATTTTTATCTGTCCAAAAAGGAGTTACTATAAATTTAGCCTTATTATTTCGTAGTGAAATTAAAAATCATTTAATTGTAAAAGAATATGATAGTCCACCAATAGCATCCCTTAAACAAAATATGCTTACTAAATTTGATCATAGATTTCCAATAACCGATCTTCAGGTATTTTTCTTTTATTTTTTTTACTTAGATGTTAGGAGCACATTTGGATCCTCGTTTTCAATCATTAAACATAGTAAATGAATATTTAAAGGAAAAAAATATTACTCGGTTGAATTTTTATGTCAACACGCTACCACCTCTCTACGGCCTTACACGGACGAATTAAACGAATGTGAAACGACGGAAGTTGCTTCAAAACTCGATTATCATAAGTCATTGGCTACGAAACATTCATCTATTCAAAACAATAACCTGGAACAACAACACTATTTAACTAGTTTAGAAAAAGAGTGTTATTCATTATTTTCGCCTTATAATTTGGAGATAAAAGATGTCTTAGATTTTTGGAAGATAAGAGCATTGGATCTTCCTAAACTTTCAATATTAGCTAGAAAAGTCCTGGGCGTTCCAGCTACGATCACACCCAGCGAGCGTGCATTTTCTATAGCTGGGCTCACTCTGAACTCTAAAAGTTCATTATTATGTCCTTTAAATCTTAATAAAATAATATTTATTCATGATAATTATAACTTAATAAAATCATTAAATTATAGTTATAAACATAATAAAGTATAAATTTTATTTTAAAAGTGTTTCCAATTAATTTATAAATTTAATTTAAAAAATTTATGTTAGAAAAATATTTTATGCCGCCGCGCCGCCGCCGATTTTTGTGTCGGCGTCTAAATCGATTCGCCGCCGCCAGCCGATCATTTTTAAAAAAAGAAACGCCGCCGCTGAAAATGCTGTCGGCGCACATGTCTAATTATAAATAATATTAAATTGCATTATTTCTTTAATAGTGCTAATTTTAAATATATTTATTGTTTTATATTTTTTTTATACACACATTTATACAAATATAAATCAAAATCGATTCAAAAGACCCCAATCTCCGGTATCACAGTGTTGGTACAGTGAGGGTCGTCATTATAAAAAATCATTATAAAGACGGCCAGCTCTTACCATTAGCTCTTACCGGGCCATCTTGCAGTAACACTGATTTAGTTGAAAAAATAAATGTGAAGTACCCATAGAATAAGAAAATATTTTATTATCTGTATTTTGGTAAACTTATTATTTATGTTTTTTTAATTTTATCTGAATATAATAAAAGATTTTATCGTACAATTTGTATAATGTTGTACATATAATATAACTTTCTTAGAAGATAATTAATGTTGAACTCTTACAAATTTACCTCTTATAACAAGTACCACTAATGATATCCCATGGTTTTTTTCATCTTTTTAAAGGTCATTCGGAAATGTGTATTGAAGTGCGCATTATGCTTTAAAATTTAAAATGTCCAAAATATTTTTAACATATTTTATTTAATATATTAGATAATATATAATTATATTTAAAAGTCCTTAAAATTTTTATAGAAAAAAATCTGGACGATCAACAAAAATAATTTAATAATATTATTTATTTTTGAGTATTTTTCTAATGGATCATAACGATTTTAATGTAAAATAAAGGCTATTGTTACTTGCCACTATGACTGATTTAAAATCGTAAAATTTTCCTTTTTTAAAGAACGCATGTGATTTTT